CTGGAATCGAACCTGGGACCCTTCAGTCAGTCTACAGGCCAACACTCTATCCACTGTGACAAACCAGCTAGTGCTCTTCTTTCTCTTAATATAGTGTTTGGATTTATGTTGTCTTAAAATGCGTTTAATTATATAAGAGGGCTTCCGAGACAACGTATTTTTAATTATATTTCTACTTCCAGGTCCTTAGTTTCATCTAATAGCTGTGAGATCTGTTGTTATTTGGGAGCTTGCAGGGGCTTCCCTGTGTGCCTTCAGTTTTGCAGTGCTCCGTCTCCTCCACTGTTTCTTAGTGAATACGGATCGAGTCTCTACCAAGAGCCAGGTGTTTGCTTTGCAGTAAAGAATATATGAAATGGTGAGCTCATGGACAGGGGCCAGGTTTAACTCATTTGTAAAATCTGCCTCTGTGGTTTTCCTTGTAGGTGTTCAATGGACGTTTGTTGAATTAAGCTCACATCCTGACTCATACTGTTCATGTGAGTCCAGCTTAAGCAAAAGTACCCCCCCTTTTTTTTCAAAATGGAAACACCCATCTTTTGCATTTCATGATTCTTACTATCATGTGCCTATGACCCTCTGTCATCTAGTAAGGACAAGCTTTGTTCAAGTCGTTTCTGTAATTCCCAGGACTTTGCTCCTGAAATGTTGGATAGAAATACAATAGAAATGCAATGCAAGCCATATATCTCATTTTTTTTTCCATTTTATTTATTTATTTATTTTTTTTTCATATATCTCATTTTAAAAATTTTAGTAGCTACATTTTAAAATCTAAAAAGAAACAGGTATACCAATTTGTGTAATTTATTTAACCTGCCATTAGGTTAAATGAATTAGTTCAACAACATTTCAACAATTAATTTAAAATATTGTTACTTTGCTTTACTTTTTTGTATCATCTTCAAAACCATATGTATTTAAACAGTGCTAGCCACACGTGGCTAGTGGCTACCTTATTGGGCAGCATGGGTATAGAATGAGTTTTTGTGTACTCACTATGTGAATAATTAAATTTAAATAGGACAAGAAAGCCACCTTATTGGCTGCATCATTGGCAAATATATATTGATTTTTTACAGAGAGGAAGAGAGAGGGATAGAGTTAGAAACTTCGATGAGAGAGAAACACTGACTCTTGCACACCCCCTACTGGGGATGTGCTCACAACCCAGGTACATGCCCTTGACTGAAATTGAACCTGGGACCCTTCAGTCCGCAGGTTGACGCTATATTCACTGAGCCAAACCGGTTTCGGCTATTTATATATTATTTTTTAATATTAATTTCGGAGAGGAAGGGAGGCTGAGATATAAACATCAATGAGAGAGAATCATTGATCAGCTGCCTCCTGCACATCCCCCCACTGAGGATCGAGCCACAACCCGGGCATGTGCCCTTAACTGGAATTGAACCAGGACCCTTCAGTCTGCAGGCTGACGCTCTATCCACTGAGCCAAACTGGCCAGGGCTTACTGTTTCTTTTTAAACTGGTCTTACTAGTTATTAGATTTTTCATCATTAGGTGAAGTCCATAATTCAAAAACCATGAAGTCTTTTTTTTTTTGGAAATGCTTCTAAGCTATTATCAGTTACTTGGGGACATCATCAGCTCTCCTTTTCATCTTCCTGCTGCTCTGGCTCCCTAGCATCTAAGGGATTGTCTATCTTCCCCCACCTCTCCTTGAATGCCATATCTTCTTCAACACTGACTGATCCCATAGCTGGTTCCCCCAAAACTTGAACTATTTACATTGTTTATCTTAACTTCGTGCAGAAGCATTCCTGCTAGTGGAAATGGAATTCTATTTACTCATAAGGCTGACAGTGCATCGTCTGAGACACTTCTGAGCACAGAAGTAGGAAATCATTTAAAGATATAAAGCCATACTTTTCAGTTCCCATTCCTAAAACTCATAGGAAACAATGTGATTGAACAGATAAGCAAATATCGCTTAAGTAACTGGTTAGTTGACCAGGTAGTGGGTAAAGCCATAATGGTTAAGTAGGAGAACAAGAAGGGGTTGACTGCCGAACCTTGGACTCATGGAGAGAGAATGGTGGGATAGGAACATATGGAGCATGTTTTTGAATTTTTTGGACAGAATTTCAAGTGTGATAAACATGGTGGTCAGCAGAAGAATCGCTGGTATGTGCCCTGGGGAGGAGGCATTTCAGACAAACTGCAGGGCTAGACCAGAGCTCACGCTCATTGTCCTTCCCCACGGACCACATCTTTCCTGCAAAAAAGTTGGGTGGGCATGGGCAAGACCCAAAGCAATAATAAGGAAGCTAGACTTGTAGCACCAGACAGCCAAAGGAAAGTAATGACATTGTAAACATCTTCATTTGGTCTACATGGAATTGGTCTCTGTTTCTTAACATCTGTCTGTCCCATGCCTGACACTGAACTGGTTGAATGACTGACAGACCAGTGAATGGCGGGCACACATACTGAGTTCTAAGAGATGGTTTTGTGTGTGTGTGTGTGTGTGTGTGTGTGTGTGTGTGTGTGTTTTAATACTTTTATTGATTTTAGAGAGGAAGGGAGAAATAGAAACATCAATGATGAGAGAGATTCATTGATTGGCTGCCTCCTGCACGCCCCCTGCTGGGGATCAAGCCTGTCCTTGACTGGGATCCAATCCGGGACCCTTCAGTCCACTGAGCCAAACCAGCCAGAGCTAAGTGATGGTTTAAATAAAGGAGAGGAGAAAGATGTTGCAGATTGACTGGATAGTATTGGGTGGGGAGCACCCAAACATCCCCAGAAGCAAGAGGAAGTGAATGGGAAGAAACAGGTCTTACAATCTGCAGAGCTCTCGGAGAAAAGTGTAAGTGGGGGAGAGTGAAAAGGGTTGAAAACAAAGAGCAGTTGGAATTACACTGTGCGCACTGCCTATAGGGTGCATCCTGGCCCGAGGGGGTGATGTCTGAATGAAAACAGTGCTCCAGGGGCCACCAAAGAAACTGCATGCCCCAAGCTGCTGTCTGTATGCCCAGGAAGTTTCTAGTCTGTGGTCCTCGCTGATCAGCCATTCGTGCACACAAAGTGTATTTGCAATGCCACCCCTTATCTTGAAGTTTGGGATCAGCTTCTTTGTGTTAATTTTTGAGTCAAAATCCTAGCCCTAAAAGCAAATAGACAAAAAAATTATGTGTAAATGTTTAAAACAAGTTTGCAAATATTTAGGTTCACATAAGTGAGTGGACTCAGAGCTCTGCCTAAGTGGGGTTTACTTTTTTTTTTTTTTTAATGTTTTTTAATCGATATTAGAGAGAGAAGAAGGGAGAGGGAGAGACAGAAACATCTATTGGCTGCCTCTTGCACACCTCACACTGGGGATTGAGCCAGCAACCTGGGCATGTGCCCTGACCGGGAATCAAACCAGTGATCTCTTGGTGCATGGCAAGATGCCCAACTTACTAAGCCACAACTACCTGAGCCACCCTGGCCAGGCAGGGTTTCCTTTTAATATTCACATGCCATTGATTCCATGAGTTGCCAAATTAGTAATATACTTGTCCCTATGGTACCTTTCTTAAATATAAAATGATTTCAACTTAAGACTTTCTATAAACTTTAAGCAAGTTTCTTCAGAATCAGCTTAGCCCTGGTGAGATCATTCAGTTACAGATATTTACTAGTGCTGGTTTAATTTGGAAAATTTATTTAGTCTTAGAATCTCTTCAGTGCCAAACAATTACTTTTAATGTTATTTTGTAAAAATTATGATGTAATTATTTTTCAAGCATACTTGGGTTAACAAAATACAGCGGTGGGGTGTGCCCTTTAGCAGCTGAACAGACAGATAGACCACTTTATACATTCCTTAGAAGTAAGATATGGTTTAGTATTTTAAATCATAGCAACAGTTGATAAGAAAAACAGCAAAAAGGTAATCATTTCCATATGGAAAGAAAAGGAAGAGCCAGTGAAGCTGTGAACTGTCATTTTTCCAAATAAAAATAAATCACTACTGATAGATTTGGCAGAGAGGGCGAATGTTCCTGTTTCCCACTTTACATTTGCTAATACATCACATGGGATGTGTTTTATTGAAGTACACCACTCCCCACAAACTCAGTTGCCAACTTGCAATTGTGTTTTGTCCTGAGTGAAACCGACACCTCTGGATGTGCCAATTCTATCAAGCACAGTATTTCCTTGATGATAATTTTCTCAACTTTGTGAAATTTTGGTGAAAGCTCTTACTCTTTTTACTGAAAAGCACATAACCATCTTCTAAACACTTATTAATAACTTAAAAGCACTAATTGGAATAAAATCAGTTTCTGCCCTGGCATTCCAACATCTACAAGAAAAACAAACCCAATTTTCTGATAACCAAAACGGTTAAGAAAAGCATACAAAATAACCATTACTCATTTACCTTCGTACTTAAGCATGATGTATATTTATTAACAAAATCCTGGCTTTATTTTAAATAGGTGCTGAAGGTAGAAAATCTTACCTGTTATAGAATAAAATATACAAGATGTTCACCCTATAATATTTAACAACAGCTCCCTCTTGTGGTTCAGAACGTTCATTTCAAAGATAAATACATTTAAATACAGAATTGCAATTTCTTTACTTAAAATTGTGCTGTGAAAGTTTAGCACATACTTAATGAATCCTTTTTTGAAATAGAGGGAAGAGGTAGGCATATAGGGACAAAACAGAATATTCCCCTTTTTGGATAGTGTCAGCGTTCCAACAACTCAGCAAAGTGTTTCCAAAGTTCTTTATAGAAGCACCAATTTTTGTGTGTCTTCCAAATGAAAATACCAAGTAGATGTTTTTGTTGAAAAGATGATATTCTCTATTTAAAAGTTTTTTCTCCTATTCTGTGGGCACAGTATGCAGAAGAAATAAGCATTTGACTTGGCTGGCTTTAAAAGCTCAGAATTTGAAAACATACAGTGAAAATAGTCTTGAAAATATTTTAGTCCCAAAGTGATGTAAGGCATTTTTCCCCTTGAACCTTTTGTTCAAGATCAGAGATTGCGGTAACTGGCAACAACCTGTTCTAACAACGTGAAGCTGTCCAAAAAATCCTCTTCTTCAATTCCAAACTTCGTGTACTGGTGAATGTAGGCTCTGGCAAAGGAAACAGAAAATGTAAAATGAAAAATACCAAACAGATAAATAACTCTTAAAATGAAGCAATAAATAGACCTTTCCCAGCTCAGGAACATTTAAAGTCTTCCTTTTGCTTCCATGTTGGCTCCAAAGATTAGCAAACTTTTTAAAAATATATATATTTTATTGATTTTTTACAGAGAGGAAGGGAGAGGGTGAGAGAGTTAGAAACGTAGATGAGATGCCGAAACTGGTTTGGCTCAATGGATAGAGCATCAGCTTGGGGACTGAAAGATCCTGGGTTCGATTCCGGTCAAGGGCATGTACCTTGGTTGCGGGCATATCCCCGGTAGAGGGTGTGCAAGAGGCAGCTGATCAATGACTCTCTCTCATCGATGTTTCTAACTCTCTATCTCTCCCTTCCTCTCTGTACAAAATCAATAAAAATATATTTAAAAAAAAAAAAAAAGAAACGTCGGTGAGAGAGAAATATTGACCAGCTGCCTCTTGCACACCCCCTACCGGGGATATGCCTGCAATCAATGTACATACCCCTGACCGGAATCAAACCTGGGACTCCTCAGTCCGCAGACCGACGCTCTACCACTGAGCCAAACTGGTTTCGGCTAGATTAGCAAACTTTCAAAGTTTATGCAGGCTCCCTGCCTTTTTTTTGTCCAAGAGAGTGACAATAAACTTGGGAATCCTAGTTAATCAAAGTAGAGGCCTTGCCAATCGTTTGAGGAATTTTTCTGTGATAGCTGGTCACTGTGGCGGAGGTCAGGAAACCTGATAACACATTTCTTAATATGAAGTAGACATTCCTTAGTATCAAGTGGAGTTGCACTTGCAATATATCTGAGCAAGATAAGGATCTCTTCTATTCAAAGGTCTTACTTATTTATTTTTTAATATGTTTTTTATTGATTTCACAGAGGAAGGGAGAGGGAGAGAGAAACATCAATGATGAAAAAGAATTATTGATCGGCTGCCTCCCGCATGTCCCCTACTGGGGATTGAGCCTGAAACCCAGGCATGTGCCTTTGACAGGAATCAAACCCAGGACCCTTCAGTCTGCAGGCCCATGTCCTATCCACTGAGCCAAAATGGCTAGGGCTCAAGGATCTTATTTTAGAAAACTATCTTATTGCCTTATAATGAAATTTCTGCTTTAATTTCATTTCAGGTAGAAACTAATTAAGTCAACAGCAATAATAATAATAAACAATGACTGAGCATTTACTAGTCAGGCACTGCACTAGATGTTTTTACATGATTATCTCATTTAATCCTCACCACAGGTCCTCTCAGTTTGGACCCCTTATACTGATAAGGAAATGAAGCCTGGAGTAACATGCCTAAAGTTTCACACCTACAAAGTGGTAGCCATGCTTACTCCACGTTGTTGATTGAATGTTTGTGTCCCCCAGGGTGATGGTATTAGGAAGTGAGCCTTTGGGAGGTGATTAGGTCATGAGGGTGGAGTCCTCATGAATAGGATTAGTGCCCTCACAAAAGAGACAGTGAAAGTGCCTTTTCGTGTCCTGACACAGAAAAAAGACACCACGTGTGACCAGAGAGTATATTTTCACCAGACATCCAATCTGCCATCATTTTAAACCTGGACTTCCCAGCCTCCAGAACTGTGAGAATCAATTACTGATTCTAGGCTACCCATCTCATGCTATTTCTGTCAAAGCAACCCAAACAGGCTAAGCTGTTATAGGTCCTGCCCTGAGTTTTAACATGAAACTATCTGCCTAAGGTTAGGCAGGTTTGTAGGTTTATCTTCTACTTACTTTGAAGCAAACATATTCCACGCTTTGCCCACAATCATATCAAGTGGTTTTACTAAGAACTGGCTGTTGCTGACCAATGCTGCAGACTTCTCATATTTGTTAAAGGCTCGCTGGGTTTTCCACATATTGAAAGCATTATCAGGTCCTAACCAGGAAGTATAGAGGGCTGGATCTTTGAATCCCCCTGGAGTAAAACAACATAAGCCATTGTTCACATTGTAAATCATTAATTTTGAGAACAAATAATAAAGGAATATTTTCTTATCCACTTCACCAAATACCTTTTGTTTTGCCTTTTAAAAATAAATAGCCTTACATTTAAAAAGCAAATTAAAAAAAAATAAAAACTAGCTTTACATTGCTTTCGATAAATGATTTATACTCATCATAACAGAGAAAGAGAGAAATATCAATGTGAAAGAGATATATTGATCAGTTGCCTCCCACACATGCCCTGACCAAGGCTGGGGACCAAACCTGCAACCGAGGTACATGCCCTTGACCAGAATTGTACCCAGGATCCTTCGGTCCAATGGCCAACTCTCTATCCACCTATAGAGCGTCAAACCAATTGGGGTGAAATGTTCCCTTTTTAATCGTTACTATTTATCTAAGGGGTATTACAAGAACTAGATTGTTTAGTGTTCTTTATATCACAGCTAGAAGCAGCCAATTGGACACTGCTGAAACCATCAAATAAGGATAATATAAATCTAGAGACATGCCATAGAAACACAAACTAACAAGAGAACTGCTCTTTCAACTTCTTGAAATTTTTGTAATAAAATGCTTGGCACAGAGACCACTAGCTGTCCCACAAGACCTGTTCTCTCCCTTTAGTAACAAAACCCCCAAATTTTAACTGTGCTCATGGTGACCTTACAGCTAAGTGTGGCATGTGATTCCGTCCCAGTCAAATGGATAGAAACACAAGTGTGGTGTGTAACTCTAGGAGGAGGACGTGTGCCCTTCTTTACTCCTTTCCATGTGAGTTGGTGGCTGAACTCAAACAGATAAGAAGCCTTCAGGTAAAGACAATAGAACAACCAGATTCAGGAAGAAAGAACTAAATTTGTGTCTTGTTTAAACCACCCCTATTTTGGTGTTCATCACATACTAACTGATAAAATGGCTTCATTTTGCTATAAAAGCATATTATTTTCCTCTCTCTAAGAATAAATTCAGGGACTTTCTTTTTAAACCATGTGTACCCTATGTATGTGCAAAAAGCACATCTTCATTTTCACCTTAACCCCTGCTTACCCAGATCCGCACTGTGCACCTCTTTTCCACGGAGGATGACCAAGTTAGCAAGGGACGTGTTAAAGTGGAGGTTCCTGTTGACGGGCATTTTACCAAGAGTAGGAGCTCCCGATAAAGGAGGCCGTACCTGCCAATCAATACCTACCAAAAGAAAAAACAAAAGCAAGAGGTTTTATGCATGGCTTTAAACAGGAAGAGAAAGATATATTACAGAATCTGTGTATTTTACATACATTTTTATTTGCTAACTAAAAGTTTTTTGCTGCTAAGAGAGGGTGGTAGCCAGGCTCCAAGAGGAACCCCAATGACTCTTGCCTCCTGGAATTCAGGTCCTTGTGTGGTCCCTTCCCACGTGGGATAGGGCTGACCTTAATCACGGAAAGGGCGGTGCGGAAATGATGGGTGTGACTCCCAGCGCCAGGCCTTAAAAGACACTGTCACTTCCGCCTGGCTCCATCTTGGATCACTCATTCCTCCTGTTGCTAGGACAAGTGGAAACAGACATACTGCTGATGGCAATATTAGCGGGGTCAGTCCTTATATAGAGCAGTCTGATAACAAATGAAGAGTTTTAAAACTGTATTCTTCGCCAAAACCGGTTTGGCTCAGCGGTAGAGCGTCGGTCTGCGGACTGAAAGGTCCCGGGTTCAATTCAGGTCAGGGGCATGTACCTGGGTTGCTTGCGGCACTTCCCCGGTGGGGGGTGTGCAGGAGGCAGCTGGTCGATGTTTCTAGCTCTCTATCTCTCTCCCCTCCTCTCTGTAAAAATCAATAAAATATAAATTTAAAATCTCTTTAAAAAAAACAAAAACCTGTATTCTTCAACCTTATTAGCAATGTATATATATTTATTCATATATTTACATACACGAATATTTATATGTTCAAAGCTCTATTGTAGAATTGTACACCTGAAACTTAGATAATTTTATTAACCAATGTCACCCCAATAAATTCAATTTTTTTTAAGTTGTCGAGAAGTATTTTTTTTTAAATATATTTTATTGATTTTTACAGAGAGGAAAGGAGAGAGATAGAGAGCTAGAAATGTCGATGAGAGAGAAACATTGACCAGCTGACTCTTGCACACCCCCTACTGGGGATGTGCCCACAACCAACATACATGCCCCTGACCTGAATCGAACCCGAGACCTTTCAGTCTGCAGACTGACGCTCTACCACTGAGCCAAACCGGTTTCGGCAATAAATTCAATTTTTTAAAAAAGCTCTATCTATAACTGTGAAAAAAAATGTTAACACCCTACAGTCCCTCATAGGAAAATGACTAAGCAAATTATAGTTTATTGACCTGAGCTCAGCACAGCACATCTTACACTGCCCTTAGGAACGCAGTGTTCCTTGAGATGTTAACAGGTTTTGCTAGAAAAACAGGTATATACTGTGGCCCAAAACATTCAGGAAGCATTACTTTTAGGTGTGAACTATCCACTTACCTCCAAACCCCAGGCACTATAACCTAAAATCCCTAAGGAATTACAATTAAATGTAGAAGAAATCCACTTTCACAGTATTGAAACCTAAATTATTGTGATTTGTGGTAAAATATACACTACAAAGATAATCCTCAGTAGTGATTTCCAGTTAAACATGACAGATTAAATAAACAAGTTTACTGCCACTATCTTCCCAAATCTCACTAACAAGACAGTACAAGGATTTTTTTTTTTTTTTTTTTTTTTTTTTTTTAAGCATAAGCAAGAAAAAAGGCAGAGGAGATAATGGCAGCAAAACGTTGGAAGGAAGGAGTGGTTACTATTTAGCAACCAGGGAAACTGAAACTCCTGCGCCCAATGGAGGTCCTGGAGGCGCGCCAGGCACTTCTAAAAGAGGAAGAGCCAAAACCAGTTTGGCTCAGTGGATAGAGCGCTGGCATGCGGGTTTGATTCCGGTCAAGGGCATGTACCTTGGTTGCGGGCACATTCCCAATGGGGAGTGTGCAGGAGACAGCTGATCAATGATTCTCTCTCATCGATGTTTCTAACTCTCTTCCTCTCTATAAAAAATCAATAAAATATATTAAAAAATAAAATAAAATAAAAAATAAAAGAGGAAGAAACAGGAGGATTAGTTATAAATCTGGCTGAGAAGCATTGAGAGCTCTAGCCCCTTCCCGCTCCCTGCGGCAGGGGGAGTGCACCCCTCCGTCAGGCCTGAGGGACACTATTGCTGTATTGCTCTCGGTAAAAAAATCAATAAAAATATATTTTTTTAAAAAATTATTCCCGACCTCGAATCCTGTACATGACCAAACTATCAATGTTGTGAAAGGGTAGAAGAATGATATTACATGGCTTAACTATGAGTATTTACGTAGCAAAAGTAATTCAAACCTTGAAAACTGATCTAGTAGGAGAATCCAAGATGGCTGCACAGGTAAACACTTAGCCGCAGCAGCACACAACAATTTCAATAAAATACAACTAAAATATAAAATGGACATTACCCAGAACTACAGGAAAGTCGACTGACTGGAAATTCTACAACGAGAAGCAAGGAGAAGACCAAAAGGAAGGGCGGAGGAGCTGTAAAAGCCTAAGGTACGGAGACACACGGTGCGCGCAGAGAGGAGGGGGCGGCTGAGTGCCTGGCTGGCGTTCCCTAGCGGGAAGGAGATAAAAGCTCCGACTGTGCTGGGCCCCAGTTCCGACTGCTCTGAACCCCAGTTCTAGGCCAGACCCTGGGGACCCAGACTCAAACAGAGGGAGCTGGGCTGTAAGGCAGAACCCCGGGGGAGCGGCGAAAGGAGGTCCCGGAGGCGGGCACATTGCTGTGCCTCTGGGATTGCCCTGGTGGGAAGGAGACAGGGGCTCCAGACTGCTCTGAACGCCACCTCCAACCCCACTTCCAACTGAACTGAACCCCAGTTCCGGGCTCATTGGGGGAGAGCCTAGACTGTTTGGTAGCAGGTGAAAATCAAGGGCACCTTTCTCAGAGGTGCTTGCAGTGAGTACTGAAGGACCCTGAGACTCAGAAGCCGCATAGGGCGGGGTTGACAGAAGCCAAAGCTGTAGTCTCCACCCTGAAACCCCGCCCCATCAGGGAAGCTGCGAAAAGGCTGAGACAAAATAGATCACAAACAAAAGAAATGGAGGACAAAAAGCGACTGGATATAGAGTTCAAATCTACGCTTATAAGGTTTTTCAAGAATTTCCTAGAAAAGGTCGATAAGACCTATGAGGATATGAAAAGGGATCAACTAGAATTAATAAGGAATCAACGAGAAATGATAAGGGAGCAACAAGAAATAAAGAATGCATTGTCTGAAATAAAAAATATTATACAGAGTCCTAAAAACAGAATGGAAGATCGCAAGAATCAAGTCAAAGATTTGGAGCATAAAGAGCCAGAAGACACTCCTCCACAGCAGCTAGAAGGCAAAAGAATCCAGAAAATTGAAGATAATGTAAGAAACCTCTGGGACAACTTCAAGCAAACCAATATCAGAATTATGGGGTCCCAGAAGATGAGAGAGCAAGATATCTAAAACATACTGAAAGAAATAGTGACAGAAAACTTCCCCCACCTGGTGAAAGAATTAGACTTACAAGTCCAGGAAGCGCACAGAAGTCCAAACAAAAGGAATCCAAAGAGGACCACACAAAGACACATCATAATTAAAATTCCAAGAGCAAAAGACAAAGAGAGAATATTAAAAGCAGCAAGAGCAAAGAAGGTAGTTACCTATAAAGGAGCACCTATGCGATTGTCAGCTGATTTCTCAACAGAAACCATGCAGGCCAGACGGGAATGGCAAGAAATATTCAAGGTGATGAATAGTAAGTACCTACAGCCAAAGATAATCTATCCAGCAAAGCTATCACTCAGAATCGAAGGTCAGATAAAGAGCTTCACTAATTAAAAAAAAAAAAAAAAAAAGCTAGCCGAGACCGGTTTGGCTCAGTGGATAGAGCGTCGGCTTGGGGACTGAAGGGACCCGGGTTCGATTCCGGTCAAGGGCATGTACCTTGGTTGCGGGCATGTCCCCAGTAGGGGGTGTGCAAGAGGCAGCTGATCGATGACTCTCTCATTGATGTTTCTAACTCTCTATCCCTCTCTCTTCCTTTCTGTAAAAAATCAATAAAATATATATATTTAAAAAAAAAAAAAAGCTAAAGGAGTTCATCACCACCAAACCAGAATTATATGAATTGCTGAAAGGGGTTCTTTCAGAAGAGAAAGTAAATAAAGATAAAAATTATGAACAACAAATACGTAACTATGAACAAGTGAATCTAAAAACCAAGGAAATTTTAAAAAATCTGATAAACAACATTAACTGTTGAATATAATAGAATCAGAGGTATGGAAGGGGAAAAAGGGAGAGGGGGATGTGGGAAGAGACTGAACATAAACTGTGCACCTATGGATGAGGACAATGTGGGGTGGGGAAAGGGCAGAGGGGGGGTGGGAACCTGGTGGAGGAGAGCAATGGAGTGGGGGGGGAAGGAACATTTGTAATAATATGAACAATAAAAATTTATTAAAAAATAAAATAAAATGGGAAAAAAAGAAAACTGATCTAGTAAAAAATGTGTGTGTGTGTGTGTGTGTGTGTGTGTATAGAGCGTGTAAGAGAGTTCTATCCTCCATTTTTACATAGGGAGGCAATTGATAATATATAAACGTGGAAAATAACAAAAATAACAGTATAAGCAAGATATTTAGAAACATGGAGGCAAATTCCAGCAGTTAAAAACATGGAAAGGAAGGCATCAGCTGGGCAGTGTAGGATAAGACACTGCTCTTTTCCTCATTATAAATTCATGCAGGACAATTACTTGGCTTTTTAAAAAAGATTGAGATATAATATACATACACTGCAATGTATGTAAACAAAATCTGTAAATACCTTATGTTTATAATACAAATCTGTAAGTACTAAAATGGTCTTATGTATACACTTAAGTGATTTTAATGCTTGCTTTTTAAAATTTTGTTAATATATTTTTTTGTTGATTTCAGAGAGGAAGGGAGAGGGGGAGAGAGAGAAACATCAATGAGGAGAGAAACTCATCGATTGGCTGCCTCCTGCATGCCTCCTACTGGGGATCGAGCCCGCAACCCAGACATGTGCCCTTGACCGGAATAGAACTGACCCTTCAGTCCACACGCTGATGCTCTATCCACTGAGTCAAACTGGCTAGGGCTTAATTACTTATTTTTAAAAACTCTGTTCATATATTACTTTTTTTTTTCTATTGCAATATTTTTAATATTCAGTCCTTTTCTGATTTCCACTGCTCTGAGGACATGTCTTCAAAAAAAATTTTTTAATATATTTTATTGATTTTTTTTTGCCCCTCTCCCTCCCTCCCTCCCATACATACCCTCCCTCCCCAGAGTTTTATGTCCATTGGTTGTACTTATATGCATGTATACAAGTCCTTCGGTTGATCTGTTATCTCCCCCAGATCTTCCTCCCCTCCCCACTGTAATTTGACAGTCTGCTTGTTGCTTTACTGTCTCTATATCTTTTGGTTCATCCTGTTCATATATTACTTTGATAAAAATAAAGTATAAATAAAAATAAATGTCACATTTATCAGAAATTATTTTGGGAATGACACTGTGAGGTGATTAGGAAGCCCTCCCTGGATGTCCTGTTGCCAGAAGAGGGGGCCATTTTTTTAAATTTATATTTTATTGATATTTTACAGAGAGGAAAAGAGAGGGATAGAGAGTTAGAAACATTGATGAGAGAGAATCATCGATCAGCTGCCTCTTGCCCGCAACCAAGGTACATGCCCTTGACCGGAATCAAACCTGAAACCTTTCAGTCCACAGGCCAATGCTCTATCCACTGAGGCATGTTCCAGCGGGCCATTATTTTTTAACTGGCCCCCGCCAGTTTATATTGAGAACCCCAGGCATTCTTCCCAGCGTTTGGGTGACATATTTTTAAAATACCCTTTACCTTCTTCCATTTTCGCATTGGAAATGAGCATCTGTCTCAAATGCTTGAGGAGGCCAGCCCACGTGAACGTGCTATAGGCCAGGGAGTGCTCAGACATTTGGGGAATGTTGCGAACACCCAGCATCTTGAATTCCGGATGGGGAACTAAATTCTCCATTAAATCTCCTGTAAGGAAAAGAAAGAAATGTTAACTAAAATTTTAATTCCGCATTGTTCCTGTTGGTCTATATACAACTACAATTTGATGGCCTTTGAGTATTTTCTCCTCCAAGCCGGAGCTGCTTAAATTTTAAAATGTAAATAAAATTTCAGAGACAGACTATGTATTTGCTTCATTTTGGCACAGATGTTAGCATGAGTGAGAAATAACACTTTGCCAAAAAAGAAATAAAGAGTTTAGAAGCCAAGTAACTGTTTATATGAATGAAATATTTAGTTGAAAGAATAAGTATAAGAGTTAATATGCTTTTATTGTCTTTCTGTATTCACTAAATATTCCTTTAGAAGTTTTCCTAGTTCTCTAATTTATTTTATCTAGTTAAATGGTAATCAGAACTGTGAGAAACAAATTTATGTTGTTTACATGCTATCCAGCCTATGCATTATAGCAGCCTTAGTGGACTAAGATAGACTAATCTATCGACATCCTGCCTTCTCAATCCATCAGTCTTCCCCTTTTTCCTTTTTTTAATCTCTTTCTTAATATATTTTATTTATTTATTTATTTATTTATTTATTTATTTATTTATTTATTTTTTACAGAGAGGAAGAGAGAGGGATAGAGTTAGAAACATCGATGAGAGAGAAACATCGATCAGCTGCTTTTTGCACACTCCCTACTGGAGATGTGCCCGCAACCAAAGTACATGCCCTTGACCGGAATCGAACCTGGGACCTTTCAGTCAGAAGGCTGACGCTCTATCCACTGAGCCCAATGGTTTTGGCTCTTTTTTTCTTTTTGTTTTTTTGTTTTGTTAAAAAATATCCTCACCTGATTCATTTGATGATATTTTTCCATTGATTTTTAGAGAGAGTGGAAGGGAGAGGGAGAGACAGAGAGAGAGAGAAAAAAAATTGATGTAAGAGAGACATATCATTGGTTGCCTTTACACATACCCGACCAGGCAAGGGATTGAGCCTGCACCTGAGATATATGCCCTTGACCAGAATCAAACCCAGGACCCTTCAGTCCAAGGCCGAGGCTCTATCCATTGAGCCAAACCAATCAGGGCCGTCTTCCCTTCTCTTCACCTCCCTCCCTATGCCGTTCCTTGTCCTTCTGCCTCATCAAATATTTCTGGTGAAAAAATCCAATCTTGGATCAGCCCTGTGCTTCTCATTCTCTGTCAGAGTATAGAAAGTCACCCCAGATGGCACACAGGGTCCCCTTAGGAATTCACAATCCCCAATTGCTTTGTTGAGAAGGTGAAGTCTCTTCAAACACTTGAGCAGAACTATGTGGGTATCTGAGGTCTTTAGGGGACTTACGTTTTAAAAATTGAGCAACTGAGAAAGAAACAAAATTGGAGGAAAGTTAAGGGACCTGTTTTAGACGCAGTGTGTTTGGAATGTCCATGAAATGTGTACATAGAGATGTCAGGACGGCTGCTCAGTATAGAAATCTGGAGCTTAGGGAATCGGTTAGAGTTGGAGATAAACGGGCAGGTTGGAAAAGACAGTGGTATTTAAAGCTGTGGAACTGGGGAGAGGATCCAAGACTAGCATTTAGAGCCTGAAAAACAGAGGGAAAAGGGGAATAAAAGGAGTAGTCGTGGAGATAGGGGGAAAAAATCAGTATAGAGGCCGTCAGAAAAGGCAAAGAGGAAGAATGCAGACAGATGACGGAGATGGCACCTACAGGCCTGAGTACACTGATGAGATATGAGGACAGTGGAAGAAATCAGTGATATGAACTGAGGAAGAGGTGGCAGGAGAGAAAGATGGGGGGAAATGATAAATCCATTCAGAACATGCTAAATTTGAAGAGGCACTAAAAAAACTGGAATAGGGAAAGAGAAAACTATTTGGGAAAGAGATTGGGTGGGGGCAGAAGGAGGAGGGGATATAGATTATAGAGTCATTTGCATCTAGGTGATTTGAATTGATAAGGCACTATATGCCAAATAAGCTGAAAAAAGAATGGTGGATTTATTTTTATTTTTTATTTTTATTGATTTCAGAGAGGAAGAGAGAGACAGAACCATCAATGATGAGAGAGAACCATTGACTGGCTGCCTCCTACGTGCCCCACACTGAAGATTGAGCTCGCAACCCAGGCGTATGCCCTGGTTGGGAATCGAACCGTGACCTTCTGGTTTATAGGTCGATACTCAACCACTGAGCCACTCCGCCGGGAGATGGGTCTTTGTGGAGTGATAAAAATGATGGTTGTACAACTTTGTGGATATGCTAAAAAACACTGACTTGTACACTGGAAATGGGTGCATTGTGTGTTATGTGAATTATACCTCAAAGTTTTCCTTGAGAAAGAGAGAGAGAGAGAGAATACTGAAGAATAGTCTATGGGCATCCACCACTCTTTAGAGAATTTAGTAACTTCCCAAAACATTTCGGTAAGACAGTTCAGAGAGCTAAGCAGCGCCTTAGGAAGGCTTTTGAGAGGAGGGAACGGAGTGTATCTTCAGGCAGAGGAGAGGAGCCAAGAAAGAATAACTTGGAGGCTTTCAGAACATGAGACTTTCCTGTCAGTAACATACAGGAGGATAAGTACCTAGTGGATTTCTTCTGTAGTGAGATGAGCCCTCCTCAGAGTAAGTAGGCTGGAACACACTTCCCAGCTGGTGGGCGAGGACCTGATTTATATCTCTGAAGGAGATCTGCTTGATGTTCATCAGTTTTGCACAGATCTTATGAAGAGCATCGTTCTCGTGAACAAGGAGGGCGTCTGAAGATCGGTACAGGTGAGAAAGAGTCAAAATGGAGTTGTAATTCTGAACAATAACCTGGGGAGGAGGTCAGAAATGAGAAAGGCAGGAGAGAATAGTGGTTAAGAGGGTGGAGACCATCCTGCCTGGGATCAAGTCCTGGCTCTATCACTTTCTGGCTATATGACCTTGTACACAATCTCTCTGTGCCTCAGTTTCCTCTCTGTAAAATGGGAATAATAATTATACCAGCCTCCTAGAGTTTTAAAGGTTGATGACAGAATGCATGTAAATCACAAGAACAGTGCGCTGTGTATAATCAAGATTCAATGGATGGCCGGCGTTACTATCACACTTTCTTCCTACATCATTTCCTAGAGTGACTTATCTCACCTCCATGTTATGATTTCTCAAGGTGTCTGCTTCTTATACTGCAGACCAGTGTTTCCCAAACTTTTGACATATGTGTACCCCTTCTATAATTTTCGTAATGCTGAATACTCCTTATACTCATGAGAACATAGAATTAGGCTCAGCTAAGCACGGTGCAGTGCATATCCCCACCAATCTCCGGTGCAACACGTACCCCCACCAAACTCTTCCCGTACCCCTGGGGGTCCGCGTACCACACTTTGGGAAACACTGCAAGTGTAGACAGTGGCACTAACTCAGGAATGTGTCCCTGAGAGAAAATGCACAATTGTCTTCTTTGGAATTTTTAGAGACCAGGACACCTCATCTGTTTGCAAAAGTTTGAGAAAAGTTAAATGAATTGTCCACGCAGGTACCATATTGTATAGTCACTCATGAAGCAGTGACTTAACATTTCCAAAAAAAGGCTCAGACCAATCTTTTGCCTACAGGTATTGCAACCGCAGCAGGATTGGAATATAAAAATGTAAAACTTTCAATGAATGTGTTCTTACCTCACCAGTTCCATAAGGCCATATAATGTGATTCATTTTCAAAGAGTTGGAATACTGATCTTGTAAATTCCGTGTAATGAAGGCACCCAGCCCAGATCCTGTGCCTCCAGCCATACTCATTACGATGAAAAAACCACTCAAGGAGTCGCATTTCTCTACTTCCTTCTGGATTAGGTTCATTATAGATTCTGCATGTCTGGGTCCATGAACAGAGTAACTATGCAACGCAAAAGGGACAAATATAAACCTTACAGTTTAACCAGAGATATGCAATGCAGAGAGAAAGATATAGGACAGAGAAGGCTGTTTAAACCCATGAAAAGGAACTAACTCTCATGAAAGGCACAAAATTTAAAATACACAAGTTAAAACATATTTAACAGGAGAATAGGAATGCTAGGACAGTGAATTGATGAGGTACAGAAAATCCTGTTACAGGCCTTTAGCCGGAGACTCTAATCACCAGGTAGTTCTGTAAGGTTATGGTACAACATAATATTCAATACTCATAACAATACTCCTAAAGCAGTGGTTCTGAAACTTTTTTGCACATTACAATCACTCAGGGAAGCTTTGAAAAATCCCAATATCCGGCTTCTTCCCATACTGATTAAATCAGGATTTTTTAAAAAAGATATATTTTATTGATTTTTTTACAGAGAGGAAGGAAGACGAATAGAGAGCTAGAAACATTGATGAGAGAGAAACATCGACCAGCTGCCTCCTGCACACCCCCTACCGGGAATGTGCCCGCAATCAGTGTATATACCCCTGACCGGAATTGAACCTGGGACCTTTCAGTCCGCAGACTGATGCTCTATCCACTGAGCCAAACTGGTTGCAGCTAAATCAGGATTATTGAATTGAGCCTAGGTACTGGAATTTCCCAAAGAACCCCAGGAAATACTACTGCCTCATTGTATTCCCTATTACCTGAAATACTTGCATGATAAATATATTATATTGATGATAAGTTTGTTGGCAGAATGACAGTGAAGAAGTGGAAAACCCTGCTCTAAGAGGTCCACGGCTTTATCATTACCTGGACCTGAAGCACAGACATCCATGAGACAGAATGAGAGTTTCTTCTGGGTGAAGTCACGCCCTACATTTTATTTATTTATTTATTTATTTATTATTATTATTTTTTTTTTTAACGCCCTACATTTTAAAATAGCAATTTTAAGATTATGCGCACAGTATATCAACCGTGCAGTTGTAACTACACTCTCTACTAATCGACTATGTAGCAGTATCTAAATGGAAAAATCATGATGAATTATTCTTACCCATATGCCCAGTTGTTTCCAGAACCTTGTTTTTGACAGAAGCATGAACGCTGGCCATATTTCCATCGGCCACACTGGGAAGCCTTTGATAGTGTTTGATTGATAACTTTAGGTTCCATGTCAACAAGTACAGCCCGGGCAATTGGAACTAGAGATGGGGGGATGAAATAAAAGAATAATATTTCATATGTCATATTTAGGCTAACACAGAGTATAAACTGCTAAGTTCCCCCTACCCCCCCCCCTCCCAAATCTGAAGTATGAGGATAGAAAGAGTGGTCATACTGCTCAGAAATCAAGGTGGGCAGCAGCAGGTATATGCAGATGGTTCATAACGTCTAGCATTCTACTAAGCAGGATGAATCAGTGTGAGTTACAATGGTCCCTGGGTCAGGTCTACAAACATCTGTTGAGTGCTTACAATGTGCCATGTACTGGGAACACAGAGATGAAGACTACACCAATCCAGCCCTAGAAGGGCTAGTTGGAGAGATGAAACACTCTATCATGTGATGACCCATGACAAATCCACAGTGAGTAGTATATTCGGAGGTACAAAATACCATGAACACAACAAGCAGTTTAGGATTGTTGAAGCAGATGATAGAGGAGGAAGTAGAAGAAGTGATGTATGGAGATGGAAAGCAGGCAGGGCTCAAATCTTGGAAGTCCTTGTGTACAATGTTAAAAGCTTGAAATGAACCACTGAAGATGTTCAAGCAAGTGAGGAATAATCAGATGTCTTTTTTTAAAAAATATATTTTATTGATTTTTCACAGAGAGGAAGAGAGAAGGATAGAGAGCTAGAAACATTGATGAGAGAGAACCATCAACCAGCTGCCTTCTGCACACCCCACTCTAGGGATGTGCCCGCAACCAAGGTACATGCCCTTGACCGGAATCAAACCTGGGACCCTTCAGTCTACAGGCCCACACTCTATCCACTGAGCCAAACCGGATAGGGCAAGAGCCCAAGTTTTAAAGGAAAGATGATGAACGATGCTGGATATGGAGATGCTGACTTTGAAGTACACATGGGAGATGCAGGTAGAGACGTCCACTAACTGTGCCTGAAAGTGAGGCGAGGCTAGAGATTTGAGTCATTCGTGTAAAAGATGTCACAAATTACAAGAGAAACTGAAATTGCCCAGAGAGAACTATACACGTGAAGACAGAGGAGCACCTGCGATACAACCATTGGAGAAGAAAGGTTCAGGTTCTAAGAAGACGGAGTTTTAGCTGAAACCGGTTTGGCTCAGTGGATAGAGCATTGGTCTGTGGACTGAAAGGTCCCAGGTTCAATTCCGGTCAAGGGCATGTACCTTGGTTGCGGGCACATCCCCAATGGGGAGGTGTGCAGGAGGCAGCTGATCGATAATTCTCTCTCATCAATGTTTCTAACTCTCTATTCCTCTCTCTTCCTCTCTGAAAAAAATCAATAAAATATATATATTTTTTTTTAAAAAAAGAAGGAGTTTTAGAGTTAATTACAAATCCAATAGAGAGTTAAGTAAATTAAAAAAATAAAACAGTCACAGGATTGGATAATTAGGCTAACACTGGGAGCTCTTCTTAGAGCAGCGTCAGTGGTGGAGGGCAGAAGCAAGATTATAGCTGGTTAAAGTGGGAAATCCTATAGGTACCACGCGCTAACCGATTGCGCCACTGGAGCTCCAATAAATAAAAATAAATAAATAAATAAATAAACAAAAAAAAAATAAAGTGGGAAATCTTTTGAGACTCTTAGCTGAGTAGGTAAGGAGGTAATAAAGAAGACAAAAAGTTATAGTCAAGAGATAAGATTTGTTTGTTTTGTTGTTTTTAAATAGGCAAGATCTGAGCATGCTCTTGTGCCGAGGGGGAAGATGCTACCATAATGGCAAAGGTTGTTAGCACAGAAACAAAGTCATTCCCTAAAAAGATGGGAAGGGATGAAATTCAGACTCGATGTTGGTTGGTTATGTCAGAGTAAAGGGGAGGATTTGAGCCACACATACCTCCATTTTCCTCCTCACTGAAGAATCTTTCTTTGCAAGCTGCTTGATATGCCTCATTCTCTCTTTTAGAGCAGAGTCCCTGGGAACAGTGTGAATCACTAAATAGAGTATCAAACACTTCAAAACCAATCTGATTGCCACTCTGACCAAGTTGCAATGTTACTATTGACATGCTGAGACACACACTAGGCCTATTTCCTCAAAAAAGTGAGCAACCTGTAATAGAAAAATATAGGTTTTGAGAACCATTACATTATCAATAAAGAACAAATAAAATGCCATGTAAATTAAATTCATAATTTAAAAAAATACCATATGCATGTATGGTGTTATAGATGAAATAGCTATGTCGTCTAAGGAACCAGTCATTTAAGGAAGTTGTTCTTTTTCTCTACATGGTTTGGGATTTTGAATTTATTGTACCCAAATCTATTCATACACAGCTCAACAGTTCCCAAAATTTGGTTTGTATTTGCAATTTTCCCATGCATGTATTTAAACAAAACAAAACAAAATGCATGCTGGTTGAAAGAATTAATACTATACACTTCCCACCACAGGGACACATAGATCGCAGAAGTTAACTCAACAATTGTACATGTATCAATTAACAATTTTCTCTGTTCTAAATGACTTTCACTCCATCAATCACCTTTCTGGCCTGGTCACTATAGTAACACATAAGAAAAACTGTGTTTAGCTCAGATAGGACAGCAAGGAAGACCAAGCTTGGAAAAATTGGCAGATGAAATATTACAGCAAGTCTTCACTATTTTTTTAACAAAGAGACAATTTTTATTTTGTAAATACCTCACACCAGGTCTATGCAGCACTGGAAAGAGCAGTGACTTGTGAGCCATACTCTGTACTAATAATTTTTTTTCTTTTTTAAAATATATTTTTATTGATTTCAGAGAGGGAGGGATAGAAATGTCAATGATGAGAATCACTTATCAGCTGCCTCCTGCACGCCCCCTACTGGCGATCGAGCCCGCAACCCCGGCCTGTGCCCCTGACTGGAATGGAACCGGGGACCATTCAGTCTGCAGGCGGAGGCCCTATCCACTGAGCAAAACCAGCTAAGGGCCGTACTCATAATTTTCAAACTACCTTGCAAACTATGTATCATTACTCTCATTTTAGAGAGAGGGAAACTGAGGCTCTGGAAGGTTATGTAACTTTCCCATGCCCACTTAAGTAATAAATACCAAAGCCAAGACTCTCCCTTTCCCCACTCATCCTAGGAATTCCCCCATTAACCCCACTCACTGACAGCCCCCGGACCAGCCGTTTCTGTTCTGTTCAAACTTCAGAGGGCCATTATGCGCATGCTCACTTTCAAACCCCTTTTTCCCCAAGGAAAAAAAAAAAAACCCTAGGGAGAACGAATGCGCATGTTCCACAAACGAAGAGTTTTGTTGTATTTTTTTTTCTTTTCCTATTCAGAAAGGTTAATTACGCATGTTCAATTTCAATTTATCAACTTCAGACGCCGTACGCATGCTCCCTGTTGAGCAAATGCTTGAGCTGACAATGCGCATGCTCTAGCTTCCACGAGCGGCTTCGGCTGGGCTTCTGCGCATGTGTCTGCCAGGACCTGCGTCCTGGCGATCGCTGTACGCATGTGCATTGCCCACAGTCGGCTTCACATAAGCTTGTACGCATGCTCGCGCGCTGAACTTGAGCCAGTCCCAGGCCTAAGCGCAGACGCACTGAGCTCAAGCAGCCAGTGATGGCGGCAGCGGCGGTGCTGTCTGCCGTGAGTCCGGGCCCATGAGGCGACGACGGAGGCGGGACGGCTTTTACCCAGCGCCGGACTTCCGAGACAGGGAAGCTGAGGACATGGCAGGAGTGTTTGACATAGACCTGGACCAGCCAGAGGACGCGGGCTCTGAGGAGGAGCTGGAGGAGGGGGTGAGGCCCGTGGTCCCGGGGCGGGGGCCGGCGGTGACAGGGCCGGGGCGGCGGGGCGGCGGGGCGGGCCCGGGAAGCCCGGCGCGTCCGAGAGCGCGGAGACCCAGGGGGTGCGTAGTCTCCCGGGCCAGCTGAAGCGCCGCGCGGCCCGAGACAGGGGAGCGGGCGGGGCGGACCTGGCCCGAGGGGAGAGGCCGCTGCGGGGCTCGCAGGTGCAGGTGGCGTCCCTCGCCCCAGAGCAGCGCAGCCGGGAGCAGCCCGCGCGGGGGCCGCGGACGGCGCGTGGCGGCTTCCTCCAGCTGACTGAGGGCGGCGGGCGCGAGCGGCGGCGCGCGTGCCGGGGGGAGGGGGCCGCGCTTGCTGGGTGTCCCCCTGAGTGCAGGTGAAGTGCGGAAGGGTTTCCCTTCGAGTGTAAGGTTTCAAGTGTTCCATCTTCGGACCTCCCGCAACCACCTCTCTTCTCGGCCTGTCGCTTCTCTCCTAGGAAGCGCTCAGCTGTTAGAAGTGACAGCTGAAAACTTCTGTCGGGAGTAGCGCTGCCGCTGCTGTTACAGCCACCAGGAGTTTTATTTCGGGAGCAAGGGGGCTCTGCTGCATCTTCCAGGGTTTGTTTGTTTGCTCTTTTTTTAAAAAAAAAAACAAAACAAAACTCCTTCCGTGTGACTTTTTTTTTTTTTTATAAAGCATTTATAGCAACACACGGCATTTATAACTTACTTTTTCCCCCAGTTGAAGATGTCTATATTTTTTTCAAAATAACTTATATAATTTTGGGGTGGAAAAAACCCAGCGTTGACAGCTGTGATTTGGCTTGCCAAAAATAAATTGCTTGAACCGAGACTTGTGAATGGTGGTGTGAGGGCTTTCCTTGCTTGTAACCCAGGGTGTTAAATGTAGAATTGTCTTTCCTATGCCTCGCTTGGTTTTACCTTTGCTGTCTCAATAGTTTGTTATTGTTTGTGGAATATCATTCTTTTTTTTCTCTTTAACATAAATTTATTGAAACATCACAAATTACACCTTAAATTTTAAAAATGGTGTTGTAAATCACTGATTCTGGGCAAATCCTTATGGTAATTCAAATTCTAAATTCCATTGTCTAGATGAGTACATGGCAGAAGTTTGCTCTAACTTCATAAGGGGGTTTCCCTTTCCTTCATCCAATTTTTTCCTTCTGGCAAGTTGTGCCCTACTTATTGACAAAAAATTGAGATGCTTATATATCGAAAGAAATTGGAAAACTTTAAGAAGCTAAAATAATACTTTTTTTTTTTCATAATCAAATGAGTCTAAATCAAAATTAGTTTGGAAGGTGGATATTGAGATGTGTACTTTTTAATATGTTTGCATATGTAATTCTAGTTAGCCTTTTAATGGAACATTAGATACACTAATACAACTTGAAAACAAAATGGGATTACTTTCATTACATGTAGTATACTCTTGTCATATATTGACAGTGGCTTTGGGGTAGGGGTGAAAACTTGATAAGAAGGATGCTTTATAAAGTCTGATAGAATTTCTAGACCATTGGTTTATCCCAGAAGTTAAAGGAGGTAGCAGTAAAATACTGTATTAAGATACCTATTATGACCTGGAACCTCATTGGGTTTTGGCCTACCCTTGGCCATTTGTTCTATTGGGTACCAGCAAATAGGATTTTTAGAGTGTGTGGAAGGGGAGGCTGGAGAAATTGATAGAAATAGGAAAGAAAGAAATGTGGCCACTGCCCTGGAGTGAATGAACTTTGGGGAAAAAAAGCCAAGGTAATTAGGATTTTGAGGAAGAACTTTCAGCAAAATAGTATATCATACTTAGCAATGCTTTTGGAATTGAAAATTTTTCTTCTCAGTGTTTTTTTTTAAAAATTTTTATGAGTGTTTTATTTTTTAAAATTTATTTTTATTTATTTCAGAGAGGAATGGAGAGGGAGAGAGAGATAGAAACATCAATGATGAGAGAGAATCATTGATAGGCTTCCTCCTGCATGCTCCCTACTGGGGATCAAGCCCACAACCAGGGCATGTGACCTTGACTGGAATCGAACCCAGGATCTTTCAGTCCACAGGTCGATGCTCTATCCATTGAGCCAAACTGGCTAGGGCTTGTGTGTATTGTTTTAAGAGGTGCCTCAAGCCGAAGCCGGTTTGGCTCAGTGGTAGAGTGTCGTCTGCGGACTGAAAGGTCCCAGGTTTGATTCCGGTACATTGGTTGCCTCCAGGTGGAAAGCCAAAAACAGTAGCAGTAGGATTGGGTTAGCCACCCAAGGAAATTCAATGATATCCAGGTTCTTCCAAAATAAAATTTAAATGTTTTGAAAAATGAGAGGTTTATATTTTTTAGAAAATCAAGTTATTGTGAGTTTATAATAATACTAGAGGCTCGATGCACGAAATTTGTGCATGGGGTGGGTATTACCTCAGCCCAGCCTGTATGTATCCTCTCCAGTCCGGCATCCTTGGGGGATGTCCGACTGCCAGTTTAGAGGGATCGGACCTAAAGTGAAAGTCGGATTATTTCTCTCACAATCCTGAACACCTGGCTCCTAATCACTCACCTCCCTGCCTGCCTGCCTGCCCCTAACTGCCCCCCCCCCCCTTGCCGGCCTGATTGCACCTCAATGGTTCTGCATGCTGTCCTGATTGCCCCTAATTCCCTCCTCAACTTCTTGCCAGCCTGGTCACCTTTAACTTCCCCCTGCTGCTGGCCAAGTTGCCCCCTACTGCCCCTTCCCTGCCAGTTTGGTCACTCCTAACTGCCCCACACAGCCTGCTTTTTCAGTCCTTTGGTCGTCACTCACTAATCCCCCTGCTGGCATGGTTGTAGGCAGTCATCTTGTGAGGGTGTGATGGTCAATTTGCTTCTAGCCTATTATATTAATTAATATTTGGGCTATTTGTCAATTTATAACCTTTAGTTTAGTACACAAACTTTTAAAACATTGGTGCATAGCAAAGTAGCCTCAGTAAGGAAACTGAGGCATAGGCCAAAGATATGATTGGCTAAGACCATGTAGATAACTAGTGGTAGTGTTTTTTGACTCCATTCAGCAAGCTTCACTACACAGGTTCTTCATTGCATTTACTAGTCTTGTTCATAAAGTATCTCTTTGTGGTGTGTCAAAAGTGAATTCAAATCCTTCCAGTCATGCTCACTGACTATGTGACCCACAATAAATTGTTTACGGTCTGCGGTACTTTTTTTCACTGTAAATGAGGATTGTGTGAGATAAAGTCTTTAAAGTACTTTTACAACATATTGGCATATTAAGCAATTAGCTAATTCATGGAAATATAGTAGCTTGTCAGTGTTACCCATTGCCAAGGAACCAATCATTCAAGTTTACTCTCATCTGTGCCTAGAGACTTAATAATAAATGCAGTTATACTGGTACAAGAGGCTGCATTTGGGGGGATGTAATATCTTTTTCTAAATTAGATATATTACAATGAATGAATCTTTATTAGTAAATATATATATTCTTCAGTAACTAAAAGATGAGGAGAGTAATTTGATACATTTATAAAATTAAAAGTCTTTAAAAAAAAGATTACCTCAGAGGACTATTATAAAACCAATGGATAAGAGTTTTGTTTTGCCGAAATAGGTTTGGCTCAGTGGATAGAGCGTCGGTCTGTGGACTGAAAGGTCCCAGGTTCGATTCCAATCAAGGGCATGTACATTGGTTGCAGGCACATCCCCTATGGGGATGTTTCTTTCTCATTGATGTTTCTAGCTCTCTATCCCTCTCCCTTCCTCTCTGTAAAAGATCAATAAAATATAGTTAAAAAAAAAAAAAGTTTTGCCGAAACCGGTTTGGCTCAGTGGTAGAGCATCGGTCTATGGACTGAAAGGTCCCAGGTTCGATTCTGGTCAAGGGCATGTACCTTGGTTGCGGGCACATCCCCGGCGGGGGGTGTGCAAGAGGCAGCTGGTCGATGACTCTCTCTTGATATTTTACAGAGAGGAAGGGAGAGAGATAGAGAGCTAGAAATGTCGATGAGAGAGAGTCATCGAACAGCTGCCTCTTGCACACCCCCCACCGGGGATGTGCCATGCCCTTGACCAGAATCGAACCCAGGACCCTTCAGTCCCCAAGCCGACGACGCTCTATCCATTGAGCCAAACCAGTCCCGGCTAAAATATATTTTTTTAAAAAAGTTTTTTTTCTCACCACCATAATCAAATTTATTATTCCAGTGTGTTTTTTTGTTTGTTTTTTTTTTTTTTTGGGGGGGTATTTTATTTTTGTTTTGTTTTGGGCTGATAATAGTATAATTTGGGAACAGTGAGTTGAAACTAAGGGAAAGTTTTCCTCTAGAGATACCCCCCCCGCCTCCCCCCCCCCCGAGATTCTTATTAGATTATGAAAATGTTGGAAACCTTTGCTTTTTGTGGAGAAAAAGTTGAAATAGTAATAGAAAATTATAATGCAATATTTAAAGTCTGCAATTTTTACTCAAATTTCAATTAGTCACAGAGCTTACTACATGAGTTTTAGATTGAAATATCAGATTTTTATTGAGCAAAAAGTTCAAAATTTTTAGTGCTTTGAAAAACGAAAGTGCTAAATAGCATGCATTCGAATATTCATGATTTTGATTTATGATTCATGATTCAATACTATGATTTTGAAAAATTATAGAAAAACAGCTCATTATCAATGTTTAATCTTGCATTGTAGTAGATATTTACCATAAAGTATCCTATATAATAAAATCCTAATAAGCAAATTGACCCAAGTTCAGAAAGACAGATCTCTATGATGCATACTGACCAACAGGGGGCAGATGCTCAACACAGGAGCTGCACCCTGGTGGTCAGTATGCTCCCACAGCGGGAGTGCCACTCAGCCAGAAGCAATGGCGTGATGGGAATCACGGGATCCTCTGCTGCCTCTGCAGGTCCCAGACTGCTAGAGGACATAGACGGGAATGAGAGAACAACACTCCACCTCCCCTAAATAAATCTATTGTGGTGACATTGGTTAATAAAGCCAT